GTGGTGAGTAAAAGATCGTGGGTTGTTTTTCCTTTACTTGAAGGGGAAAATTTTTTCCCCCCCCCCTAAAATTTGGCTTCAAATATAGGTGGCCGGCCCCCCCCCCCCCCCCCCCCAAAAAAGAAAAGTAATGGCCGGTGGTTTTTTTTATTATAATATTTTTTTTACATAATAATATAATTTAAAATTTTATTTTTGTAATATATATAAGTAAGACTTTCCTAGAAATATTAATATTTAATGTTAAGTTTTTTCTATTTTTTTTAAAACATGTATTAATGTAATAATTTATTTATTAAAAATTTCCAAAGATTAATTTTTTACTTTTTTTAAGAAATAATTAGTATTTTATGCTGATTTTTTGGAATTAGCTAGGGAAAACAATTTTTTTAGTGTGCAAAAACTGATTTAATAATGTAGCTTTCGAATTATCGAGCTTTGTTTGGTGGCAACCCCTAACCGAACCATTTGTAAAAAACTTTAATATCTCGAAAACTTTATTAAGAAACTGGTATTATGAAAACGTGTTCAGCAGAGTAAACGTAAACATTTTCTGTGATTTTTAATGTTAATTAAACGTCAATCGGCCATTACTTTCCGGGGGGACTGTACGTAGTTGTCCTCAATCATACAAAAATACATTTACCACTTATCTTTACACTGGTAAGAGTATCTAGATTGGACATCTACCATCTTATAGTTTTTGTAACAGTAGAAAGGTTGGTCATAAATTGGAATTGTGCCAGATCCCGTATAATGTGAAGGTCCGAATTATCGCTAACCGAACGCGTCGTTTTTTCGGCGGCCCTAAGGTGCCAATCAAATAATTTTGTTTGTTCCTAACCCTTTTGATAAAGACACATACTCATTATTGTATTGCTGATTCTAAAAATATTATTAGACCAGGCAAAAATTAAGTGAAAATTTAAACAGCAGGTTATATCATATAAAGCTAAAATTTTTATTAATTTACTATTTACGGCATTGCAATGATTTATAGCTTTTGAATCTGCTAAAACTTATACTATAAAACCAAAGAATAAAAGAGATAACAATTATAACTAATCACGGTCCACGAAAATATAATGAAGATAAAAATCCTCACCAACACGCACACATTTCAAATTTGTTGCTTTTCGATACAATTTCAAAGCTTGATGAACGTCAACATTCGTCCCAACACCACGTAAAAGCGCATCTGCCAAAGTACACATACCAGATTCGTCACCTATCTCGGCACTTTTAGAATACCAATAGAAAGCATATCGCAAATTTCTCTTTACATGAATTCCATAGTGATAACAGTAGCCCAGATTATATTTTGCATTACTACATCCGCCATTTGATGATTTTGTGTACCAATAAAAGGCTTTCTCATTATTTACTTCGGTGCCGATTCCAATCTGATAGAAATATCCAACCTGGTTTTGACCGAATGCGTCATTATGTTCAGCAGCTTGTAAGTACCATTTAAATGCTTTTTGCTCGTCGAATCGTGTACCGAAAGATCGATGATAAAAGAATCCTAGTAGACATGCATAATCATAATTTTTATGAGCAATTTGTTTTAGATGCTCAATAACTTGAATTTCTGTGTATTCGTTATATTGAGAAAACCAGCTCTGAATACATTCTTGTAAGTGTTCATCTTCCCCGCCAGGATTTTTAATCGAAGAAAATTTTTGTAAAAGTTCTTTCAGAGCATTTGAGAAATAATTTTCGTCGTCATTCCCTTCCACATTTTTATCGTATCTAATATTCATATTGTAATTATTGGTCAATTCAGTTTTTGTTGTTGATATTTATGCCAAAATAAATTAGGTAAGCAGATTAAAATGATAAAAGGGTTAACGTTAAATAATTTGTGTCTTATTTTTGGTGACAATTATGAAAAAGGATCAAGTATTGATTCAGAGTATACCGATACAGTCGTACCTCTTTTATAAGAACATGAATGGCCAGAAAAATACAATTCTAAGTGATTGTTCTTATAAAAGAGGTAATTTTTAATATATGTACGTATCTATCATTATCATTATACGTATCATACTAATACATGTGCATGTACTAGAATCCGCCACAGTTATTACGTACCGTTATTATACATGTAGTTATGCTGTACATACCGTTGGTGATTGGCCTGAATATTCATGATGGCACGCGGCTCGCTCCAAAGCCTGATGACATCGACATTCGTCCTCATATTACACTGATAAGACTATCTGAGATTGGACCACTGTAGCTAACGTCAACGTTAACTAATCGGTTCTAATCTCTTACAATAATTGGGAAAATATTTATTTAAAATTACCATACTTTTGAATCATAATTACAAAATAAAAATTTATAAAAGTTTGAAACCTATACAATTTTTATTTGTCTTATAAATTCAAAGTAAGTAAATACTTCCTACTTAATAGATTAGAAACGATAAATAGTTGATTTCTCACAACTTGGAGTTGTACCAGATGAACGTCCAAATTATCGCTAACGGGACGCGTCGTTGTTTCGGCGACTCTAAGGTACCAATTAAATAATTTGTTTTGTTCTAACTCTTGACAAAGACATGCATATATTCTTATGCTAAAAATATTATTTCAGGCAAAAGTTATTTAAAGCTAAAATTTTTATATAAAATAATATTGAACTAAAGTAAAGAGATGACAGTTATAACTAATAACGGTAAACGAAAATATAACGAAGATATTCATCAACACGCAAACATTTCAAATTTTTCGCGTCTCGATACAATCTTAAAGTTTGATGAACATCAACATTCGTTCCAATACCATGTAAAAGCGCATTTGCTAAATTACACATGCCCAATTCGTCACCTATCTCGGCACTTTTGGAATACCAGTAGAAAGCATATCGCGAATTTCTCTTCACATGAATTCCATAGTGATAACAGTAGCCGAGATTAGATTTCGCGTTACTACATCCGCCATCCGAGGATTTCTGATACCAATAGAAGGCGTTCTGATGATTAACTCCTATGCCGTATCCTTTTTGATAGAAATATCCGACCTGGTTTTGACCGAATGCGTTATTATGTTCAGCAGCTCGTAGGTACCATTCAAATGCTTTTTGCCAGTCGAATTCTGTATGATAAAGGAATCCTAGTAGACATGCATAATCATAATTTTTATGGGCAATTTGTTTTAGATATTCAATGACCTTAATTTCTGTGTATTCGATATGTCGAGAGAACCAGCTCTGAATGCATTCTTGTAAGTGTTCATCTCTCCCACCAGGATTTTTAATCGAAGAGAATTCTTGTAAAAGCTCTTTCAAAGCATTTGAGAAATAATTTTCGTCGTCATTCTCTTCACCCATATTCTTGTCATTGTATTTAATATTATTATCGTTATCATTGGTTGATGCGTCAGTGTTTATAAAATTGTTGAAAAATGTTGATGGAAATTGGTCGTTCATTTTATACAAAAATAAATAAAGGACAAGCATACGATAATGATACGATAACGATAAGTAGTTGTATTTATTGTTATCCACAGTCATATGACATAACAAAGTTTTGCCCAAAAAAAAATAAAATTTGATTTGATTTGTTAGCATAGCAATAGTGATAGAGTTAAATGTACGTAATACGTTCATGTATTAGTATTATAAAAAAAATTTAGTGTGATCCATAGTTGCGCCACAAAATGACTGACAAATCAAAGTTTATTTAATTCTTACAAATTTAGCTAACGCTAAGACATGTAGTTTTTGTATACATGTAGTAATAGAGGGACAAAATTAAAGAATTTGATTAGAGTTCGTTATACATGTACATGTATAACAATAACGAATTTCTTATTAATACATATACGTAGTTCGTTATAAGCATAACCGTTATTTGTGCGCCCATTGGCGACACCAATTCATAATTGTCATTATCGTTATTATCATCGTTATACATCTATCGTTATAAATCACTTTTGTATCAAAGTCTAAAATTGAATATTCAATAAGATAAAATGGTAGTAGATACCACTTCTAAAAGAGATTTATCATACGAACTACTCGAAATTTATAAAAAAGGATGCGACGACTACGAAGATGACCGAGTAATAGAAGTAGAGGTAAACGAATGGTTCAAAACACACAGAGAATCACCATCACAAATATTCAAAATGATATTTGAGCGAAGGGACGATAAAACAGACTACAAAACTCTTTTGGCTTTTATGTATTTCTTGGGAATAGGAACAGAAGTTGATAAATTTGAAATGTTTCGATATTATTTGATTGCTGCGGGAAAAGGGGATCCAGTCGCCGCGAATCAAACAGGATGGTGCTTTTATAAGGGAGTGGGAACACGCAAGAATCCAGAAAAGGCTTTTTATTGGTTTCAACGTTCGGCTGATGGTGGTTATGCGCTGGGATTGGGTTGGTTGGGACAATGTTATGAGAATGGTGTTGGTGTAAAAGCTGACATTGATAGAGCGTTTAGTTATTATATGACACCGGCGGAAGATGGTGATCCTGGGTCACAATGTAATCTTGGAAATTGTTATAGGAATGGACATGGAGTGGCTCAAGATTTAAATAAAGCCGTTCATTGGTATAAAAAAAGTGCGGAAAGAAATCATGATTATGGACTATACAATCTCGCTTATTGTTATCAATATGGACACGGGATAGAACAAGATGAAAAAGAAGCATTCAGACTATACCAAAAATCAGCAAATATAGGAAACACTGATGCCCAAGTCCAACTTGCGTTTCTCTACCGAGAAGGACACGGTGTTGAAAAAGACGAAAAAAAAGCATTTTACTGGTACAAAAATGCTTCTGATCTTGGAAATCCAGACGCAGCAAATGAACTTGGATACTGTTATCAACTAGGAATTGGAACACGACTAGATAAATATAAGTCATTACTTTGTTATCAAAAATCTGCTGTTGGAAGTTATCAAGTGGGAAAATATAATTATGCGTATACTTTTCATGATGGGTTTAGTGGGTCGGTGAATAAACATCAGGCGATATATTGGTATAGACAGGCATATGATTGTGAATATATGAAGCAATTATATGATATCTTTTTAATCAACGTTAACGTTAATAGTTGATAAATATAGTAAACGTGTTTGTATTGTATTATTTGCAATGCTATCACACACATTAAATTTACTCACCTTGTTACTCGATAAACAGATTTTAATATACTGTATATAGGATTTTGGGATGGTTGCTGTCCAAGGTTTGCGTTTTTTATAGAATGAGTTTTGAGAAATATAATTTAATAGTAATCCGATGACTGAGGCATGAGAGGTTTTTTCGTCTCATAATTGACTTTAGACTTAAGTCAACAGGGATTGCATAAGTTATTAATCGGTCGAGAGTAAAGTAATCAATATGAAAGTCCATATATGATTCAATAATTTTACAAGGCAAGATTTCTTATAAAAGAACATGCTGATCTTTTGTTAAACTAATAAATAGATTTTTTAGATTTTGATTTTTCTATTTAAAATTTAAAATTTTAAAATTAGCTTTCTTAAGTTTTTAATAATAAAATTCTTAATATAATTCAAGTAATCTATATTTAACAATTTGTTTCAATTTTAAAAGCTTTCAACTCGATATAAAAACAAAATTTTTAAAATTTGATTAACTTTGTTCTTTATAATAAGCTCTATAAAGTTATCAAATTTTAAAAATTTTATCTCTATATTGAGTTTAAAAATTGAAACAAATTGTTGAGTATAAATTACTTGAACCATATAAAATTATCTTTTAGTTAGATAACTTGTAAAATATTTCAAGTTATATATTATATTGATTTTGGTCTTGAAAATAAATTGCATATAGTAAATTATTTTATTATTAATTTATAAAAAGTTATCTAAAAAAACATAGTTTGAATTCAAGTAAATATTTGATAAAAATCTAAATAAAATTATAAATTATAACAAAAACTACAAATTAATATAAGATAATATTTAAAATAAATATTCAAAAAATTATATAAATTTAAAAATATTTTTAATTATTATAATTTAATTCACTTTAATTATTAATATTTATTTTTATAGTAATTATAAATTATAATTCTAAGTAAAATTATAATTAAAAATAAAATATTATTTATTTAAAAAATATTTTAGATCTATATTATAATTATATTTAAAAATAATATAGTTTATAAATTTGATTATAAAATTAATTATATTAATATATAATTAATATTATAAAATTAATTATATTAATATATAATTAATATTATAAAATTAATTATATATTATAAATTAATTATAAATATATAATATTATAATATATAATAAATTTTATAATATTAGTTATATAATCAAATTTCTTTATAGTTATATCTATTTATAGTTATATTTTTTTATAATTATAATATTTTGCTTTTCTATTTATATTTATATTTTTATAGTCATATTCTTTCTATAGTTATCAAATTTTGCTTTTTCAAGAATAATAACTATAAAAAGATTTGCTTATACTTGAAAACTTAAAATATATACTAAAAATAAATATATAATATTATAATTATTATATATTTATTTTTATATATATTTTGTATAATAAAGAATAATTTTTATTATTAAATTATATACAAACTTTTATATAATTCAATTTTTTATAATTAAATTAATTAAATTTTATTTGAAAAAAATTCAAAGTTTGAATAAAATTTAAATTAAACTATTATATAAATTTAAATCTAATTAAAATTTGTTTTGAAATTAGCATATAGTATTATATATTAATTTAAAGCTTTAAATATAATTTATATCTTTAATTATAAGTATAATTTATAATATTTAAGAGTTTATTTAGTGGTAATTAAAGTATTTATATTTTTATATATATTATTAATAGTAATTATCTTATATTAATTTGTAATTTTATTTGTTATTTATTTTAGTGTTACTGTAGTAACATAAATTTCTCTAATTCGATAATCTTTTATTTGATTATGCAAAATTCCCTTTTTCTTAATTTTTATAATTTATCACCTGATTATCATTATTTTTATCCAATCGTAT